AGCGATCATATCTTATGGAGTAAGATATATTGCCTTCTCTCAAAATTTTAAGACTATTCTTACACAATTTATATGTATGTTTTCTTTATCAGTCCAATTTCCTTCTACGATCTTTACTGCTGATGCGGTTACGGGCCAGAGTAGCGCTACCCACTCCTATTATGAGGGGCTTCCGTTAATTGAATCATCTCCCCAATTCAAATCTGACTATAGCGAAGGGGCTAGAGAATTGATCCGGTGAGGTAGTTGTCGTGTTCTACGACGGTTAATCACGGATGCAACCTTGATTTCAGAGCAAGACTCGAATCAATGTATAAGGAAGCCGGATTTCTTGTTTGGTGATTCGGTAAAAGATCCAGAGATTGCTTTCTGTAAGCCTGCGCAATGGTTGCACCAAAGCAGGTCATCATTCTTATATCTGCCCTGGATTCCTCGGGAGTATTCGCTGTTAAAGTTTAGGAATTTATCCGTTAGCCGTGAAATGTTCTGGAGATTAACTAAAAATCACGAGCGCATTCACTGTGGTTTCATTGGAAAAGAGGCTACCTGGGTTCCAGTGAAAGAGCTTCTGTACGAGGGCTTCATCCGGGTGTCTTAGGTCAAGACAATATACCTCAGAATGAAAAGACAGCGCAGGCCAACACCATGAAGAACCGGTTAGCGGCAGCGGGAAAAAGATTACCCAGAGAGAATTTCAGATGTTATGGATGGGTCCATTATTTTGGAGACAAGTGGTGGTGGACCAGAATGACTCACTATGTGTTGAACCGTTGGGGGCGAGAGTTAGAAGAACTAGGGTTGGCGGTCCCGATCCGTGCTACTATGTATGGTCTGCAGATTAGTGTAGGTCATTTCCTCCGTTTGTTCGAGATCTACAACCCGGACACTAATACGTTCTTTACCAAGAATGGGGAGCTCGGACTACCACTGCATGAAATGATGAAGGTGTCTGGTTTGCCCATGGGTGATGTTCCATATCAAGAGTTCTTCCCAACCACCAGTCAGCTGAACAAGATGAAAGATCGGTCAGCTGTGACCCACGACACTTTACGGGAATTGACCTGCCATTATCACATAGCCATGGCCGAGATGGAGCCCAAAGCCAGGATGAAATCCCCCCAGATCAGTTTAAAACAATTCGCCGATTATCTGTTCAAGAACCTGGATGACCGTTCGGAAGAGGTACGCGGATTGTCTCCTTTGAGTTCGGGTGAAATCAATCGGCTGTTAGAGAAAACAAACGCGCAATCTTACACCTCTCGCTCAGAAGACGGATTTTCGCACGGTACTAAATTCCGCCCTTATCTGTGGCAAGCTGGTGTCCCGATTCATCCTACCACCCTGCTTGCTGGCTTCTTGGCCTTATGGTTGAAGAGGTGTGTGGTTCCCCATCAATCCTCTGATGCGATGCTAATGGAAGTATTATATCCAGCCGTCCAGCTAGCTACAGGTCGCAAATTATCCGTGCTTCCGGCTATGGTGGCTACTATTCACAGTGGATTACGGCAATTAATCTCCGTGTTTACCCAGGAGAAAAAGAAACCCTCCGCCAGCCTATCCGTTCCGAAGCTGGAGCTGCCCTACACTTATCTAATGACCTGGTTAGTACTTCACCGGCCAGATTTAATGGAAGCTCCTGAGACGGTAGATCCCAACCTTCCTCTGTTGCAGAATCTTGAGGGTTGCAAATGGGTCAGACATCGATGGCCGGACGTCATAAGGCAGTTTAAAATTCACAAGTGTTGAGAATTCTTCCATTGCTTCCCTCGATTCTCCGGTACGTACAATACGACTTTATTAGATGCTGAAGACCCAAGGCAGAATCATACCATCTTGGACGTCGGGTGTTTCCGATGGTTGATGAACATTCAACCTGGATATCTATTATTCAGGGTAAGAGATGTTTGTCACATTGAACCCTATCTTCCATGTCGATTTGCTCGTCAATTCGGCTATGATCAAATGTATGTCGGCAACCCGAATCGTCACCTTAGTTGGAAAAGATGCTGCTGAATCTTCCAGAAAGGGAAAGGAACCGGCCCGCCCAACCGACAGTGAAGGAGAGTTTGATAGTAAGGAAACTG